TATCAATTAGGTGAACAGTTTGGGAAAGATAATTTAACTGAGGTGTGATTTTGTCAGCCAATATTTTTAATTAGCAGGTCTATAAACAAGTGTCCTACACACAAGTAAGTTTTCATGTGCCCGTGAGAGCTTTGTTTGGTACAGGGTTGAAGGGGATTGCCCCCAGAAGCTCACATCCATTTATGAGCAACCGTTTTTCTGTGCCCATAATGAAGAGTTATTCTACATACTAACGATAAAAAAAAAAGACTAAGATGGTAAGATATTTAAAAGAAACGTATATAGATATATATTTATAGTTGCTTCTGTATGTTTTCAAAAGTCAGGTGTAAATTTTATGGTGCCCTTTGTCAATAGACAATTTTAAGGAGGTCTGTGAAAGCTATTATATAGTATTGTTTCTAAAAGGAATGTCATATTGTAGAAGTTACATGAAATCTAAGAAGTAACAAAAATAGGACTAGCAGGTAATATGGTGGTTATAGGACTGGATTCCACATAACTGATGGTGCAGTTCAAGACCTAAATCCAGCGGCTTGAAAGACATTCCAGGCTTGTGTGTGTGTGTCTGTGTGCTCAAATTTCTGAGAGGAGAATGGAGGAGAAGGGATTGTGGCATGGCCAACCGCCCTGGGGGTGATTTCTTTTTTGGTTTTTTTTTCTCTCTCTCTCTCCAGAGAGCACACACTATAACAACATCTAAAATAGCTAAATAAATCCTGTTTTAGTAAATGTGAATGGAAGCAACATGAATGGACTAGATAGGGAAATTTGGTTTGGATAGATGACATTCGAAGAGATGTTTTATCTTTAAACCTCTCTACCAGATAAGTAAAATGTTGCGTCTGCTGCTTATTATAGTGGGAAGCATCAAAGACTGGAATTAGGACAAGAATTTTAACTCCAACTCTGGATTTTGGTGCGAGTCATTTAACCTCTCTGGTCTTCACTCTTTTTTTTTTTTTTTTTTTTTTGACAGGTTTTTGCTATAGGGTGCATGTACTCACCAGAAAGAAAGAGAGAGACAGAAAGCAAGAAATCACTCCCCAGGGGGATGGCCACTCTGCAATCTGTTCTCCTCCATTCTCCTCTTGGGATCTTGGGCACACATGCACATATACCTGGCATGAGTTTAAGCCACCAGGTCCAGGACTTGAACAGCAGTCAACTATATGAGAGTCCAGCAACATAGCCATTACGCCAACTGCTGGTCCCTAGTTTGTTTTTTGTTTTTTTGTTTTTTTGTTTGTTTGTTTGTTTTGTTTTGTTTTTTAGAGGTTTTTTGCTATAAGGCATACACACTCACCATGAAAGATGGAGAGAGACAGAAAGCGAAAAATCATCCCCCCAGGGGGTATGGCCATGTCACAATCCTTTCTCCTCCATTCTCCTCTTGGGATCTTGGGTACGCATGCAGAAGCGCCTGGCATGAGTTTAAGACACCAGGTCAGGACTTGAACCACGGTCGACTACATCAAAGTCCAGTGACATAGCCTTTACTCCAACTGCTGGTCCCAGTCCTTAGATTTTTTAATATCTTTATTCAGCAAACACTCAACAAGCTCACAATATCCTCCCCCCACCAACTTTCTGCTTCTTAGACTAAGGGAATGTCACTGAGAGTCCTTTCAGCTCTAATATGTAGCACCATGAAGTAATAACTTCTTAGTAAGGGACTTCATGAAAAGAATTATGAACTACTTTTCAAGGATTAGAGGAGTATGGTTTGGATAATGGAAAAATGTTGATTTGGATTAGAAGAGTACTAGGTCTGAATTTAAGGGGCCAGCCTAGCCTTCACCAAGAGCTGGAAGTCTAGGACACCTGGAACTGAATCTGAAGGTGGAAGTGGAGCCACTATTGTAAACATCCGAAAGGATGGAATTGACTAATGGGCCACCCCTCCCTACTGGTGGAGGCAGTAAACCTATCTCAGGGAAGGCAGGGCAGGCCTGGGACCCCTGGGCAGCCACATTTTCAGATGAGTCTAATTGGGCTGGTAAACTTAAGAGTGT